CACATATGTGGTGTATTTTGTTGACGGGTAATCGAGCCTCCATTCTCACCGTATCCAAAATGATGCCGAGATACTCCAGTTCTTGGACAGGGACGACCGTTTTGTGCGTAGCCAGTGGTACCTTCAGACTGTTGAACAGAAGTGACAATAGTGCCATGGTACGCTCTGCCTCAAAGTCCACAGGGTCTGTGGTTAAGAAATCATCCAACAGCCACAGTATGTGTTTGATGCCATATTTGTGTTCAGCTATCCAAGCTAAAGTTGTAGATAACATATCAAATAGGCAAGGACTGGACCTACAACCGAATGCTAATCTTGTGTAAAAGTAGTATTTTTCCTGCCATTTGAAGCCGAAAAACTTCCAAAAGTCTTGATTGATTGGGATTTGTTTGAAGGCATCGGAAATGTCCACTTTGCATAACCATGCCCCTTGTCCACATTTCTTGATGATATTTATGGCGTGGTCAATAGTCACATATGTTAAAGAACATGAATCTTTGTCTATTAATTGGTTGATGCTAGGCTGTTCTGCATTATGTGGAGCTGACAAATCAAAAATAAGTCTTTGCTTCTTGCTATATTTCCCCTCAGCTACACCAAGGGGGCTGACTCTAAACAAGGAAAAGGGTGGTTTTGACCATGGCCCGGTAACATACCCCTTATCCACCTCTTTTGCGATTAGCTCTGTGACGATGTCCGGTTGTTTTCTGGCACTAAAATTGTTAACACATTCGAATGAGGTGCGAGGTACAGGGTCGATTAGAGGATTGAACCCCTCTGTCACTCGGTGATTAGAGAGTGAACAAACTGTTTGTCCTGATGGCCTGTTAGGTCTGTTGCCAATCTACAGGTGTCAATGGGTGTGGATGGTGATAGTCATGTGTCACGTTTTTTCTGGCTCTCCTTGTCTCTGGGACACTCTTGTTTGCCATGTCCTCTCTGGCGACAGATGATACACTGGTGGGCGAAATGGCACGGGTCTTGGTCGTTGTAATTGTTGCAGACCTCGACACAGTTGAAAACCACTCTATTTCTGCCATGGGAATCGGTGTTCGGATCTCTATGGTATCTAGGACGATCTGATTGGTAAGGAGTGTACCTTTGTCCACGTTCTGCTGGACGAGAAACGGCCATGAAGCAAGTGTCAGTAGAATGAGACAAACTATGGCATATACCACATGCCCTTGTGCGACGCCCTGAAGTAACAGTGGTGTAAATTCGGGTGTCCAAGATACTCCACTCGATGATAGTACCTTTGCACACATAGGCTGCTGATCTAGCTGCGAACATTCTATGATACTCGTAGAAGAGAGTTCCTCCATAGTGTGATGCCATGTCAACTAGTAATCTCTCATACCTGTCCATTTCTTCTCTGTGTTGAGGATAGGCTTCACAGAAGATTGTTTTATAAATTCCAAAGCCTTAATAAATTCACCTAAGGATAGACTCCTGTGTCGTAGGTCGTCTCTAATAGACACACTGTCGTCCTCGCCTGTTGCACTTGCAATTTGTGTTGTTCGATATTCTCCTGTTTCGGCTGATGGTCGCAGGAGCAAGGCTAGGTTAGTGGCTTTACCTTCCACAATTTGACGTCGTAGGGCTGGGCTGACACTGTCGATGTGGGGTAAAGTGTCTGATGCTACAGGCTGGCCCTGTATCGGAGCATTCGAGTTTCTGTAGAAATCAGGTGGATTGCTAGCCGATGCGGGTATATTATTACCTGGTGGAGAAGGTTGTAGGCTCTGTACCATCTGTCTGAGTTGTCTCATCTCGTTGACTACCTCACTGATCGTGTAATTAGGGCCATCATGTAGGCTGTTAGGCGGGGTAATGTTGGAAGAAGTCCCAGGCGTTGGCGTGGAGTGTACCACATAGTCCGAATTGTTGAGACTCAGGTCAGCATGCTGAGTATCTCCTGATATGCGTTGTGGAGTCACGCCTCCTTGCCCCTGTTGGTTATCAGATTCTGCTCTGGAAATGGTAGCTGTTGGTTGTCGTCTGCTTACACGTTGAGGGGTTTGTTGTTGTGGAGGGGTTCGTGTTTGGCTATCACTTGGATTTGGCTGGTTGAGCACATACATTTGTAACAGTAACTTTTTTGTCATGTTGTCAGGAACACATACTCTAAGTTCTTTCAATTTATTCTTCAACTGGGCAGCTGTCCAGTTTTCTGGTCGGTCGGTATCCCAAACGTCGACTGGTCGGTCTTGATGTGTAGGCGCATTCCTCTGTCTGCGGTTTCGTGTTGAGCGGGTTTTGCCTCTCAGACCTGACAACCCTTCCATGGTGACCTTAAAACGAGGTCATGCAGGCTAAGCAGACTTCGCTTTTTCAAGTGTTAGCAGCGTACGTATAGACAAGATGGCGATGTGAAACAACAATGGAATGTGAAGACGAGGCTGGGCGGAAATGTTGTGCATTATGGGACAATGTTCCAGTGTAAGTATTTATTAATAGAGACAGGAATACAAGAAATATTAGGTCATAGTGAATTGTAATGTACATGATGCATGTGGCATGAAGGTAAATAAAAAAAAGAAACTCTAGCTGCAATGTATAAACAAACAAGTAAGTTTAGTACCCGACGGAATGGGGAAAAAGAAGGGACGTAACTCTATGTGACACATGTGGTTGAAAGTAAGAAAGATAATATGGCAAATACGAAAGTATAGATGCAGTAGGAATGTTATTGTTGCATAAACTACTAAATAACTATATTGACATTTTATAATGAAACATACCCTGGATCTCCACCAGATGTTAGTTCTTCAAAAGATTAGTTTCAGGACTATGTACTTGCCAGCATTTTGCAGTCAATAGGATGCCATGTGTATCCTGGATTCATTTGTGTCAAATTGGGTGGACATGGTCTTCCCTGAAATTTGAATCTTCAGTTCTTTCACAAAACATTTGTTATTATGTATTATCATCTTATGTTAAAGCCAGACACAGCACCTTAAATGGAATTTTTGCTCCAATATGTAAAAATCAAGATTTATATTTTTATTAGCACATATGACACATGTACATTAGGATACAACACTTTTTTTTATATCTAGAACTTTTATGAGATAAAAAACAATGGTCAATTGTTAATGGTCAGTAGGACAGGGAGCACAAGTCTTTGTCAATCAGTTCATTCAAACTTGGAATATCTGACTTGTCATGTGGGGCTGATAGATCCAAAATGAGTCTTTTCTTGCGGCTTTACTTGCCTTCAGCTAAACCCAGAGGACTGACTCGATAGATGGTGTAAGGTGACTTGGTGAAAGGTCCAATAATGTATCCCTTTGCCACTTCTGACTGGACCAGTTTAGTGATGATTGAAGGCTCTCGTTATGCACTTAGGTTGTTGGAACACTCGATAGTTGTAGATGGCAGAGGAGCGATTAGATGGTCAAAGCCCAGTGTAAGTCCATCGATTAGGTTGTTGGAGGAAATTTGTTCTGGATGGGATGAAAGTTCATATTGTAATTGAGTCACGTTAATTGGTGTTAAGTTGACAGGTCTAGATGATAGTAGGGGCGCCAGCCCATCTGGAGTCGGTCAGGTCTTATTTTCTGAGGTTCTGAGGTTCTGTTTTCCGTGGCTTGTGTCTTTACAGATTACACACACATGTTCAAAGTAACATGTTTGTCGCTGGCAGCCGTGGTCATTAAAATTATTACACCCTTCTCTGCCGTTGAAGCGCACTTTAGGTCGACCTCTGGCGTCAACTTTGCCTTGACGATAGCTTGATGAGGTCCTGTCACACTGCCCGCTTGGACGTCTGATCCTGGCGTCCATAAGATTGGGGCATCCCTCGTGGGTTATGCTCTGGCACAATAGACATGACCTTGCCCTCTGTCCTGTAGAACACATTGTGTAGATCCTTTTGTCCACCATGCCCCACCTAATAGGAGTTCCTTTCTCTGCATATGCTGCTACACGTGCGGCAAACAGCTTGTGGTAATCATAGTGATAAGTCTTGCCAGGAAAGAGTTTTGCTAGTCCTACAACAGTTTGTTCATGGTCATCCAATTGTGCACGTAGTTCATGTTTATTTTCACAGTACACATTCATGTTTGCAGTAAATGCAATGATGAAATTAGGTGGTGACAAAGACCTTCCTAGCTTAAGCCCCTATTTCACTATGACCACGAATATACCGAATCACCCCGAATTGGAAACTTTCGAAATTTGTGATGATTCGGCCAATAATGCAAACTTTCGTGGAGAACCGGTAGGAGGTATGAAGCAGTTACGACAAACGTACGACGGAGTTACAAAAACTTGTGGCTAATCGGGTTGAAAAATATGAAGAATGCCAGGAATGGGTTAAGAAACAAATTAATAATCATAATAAAAATATGACGTTGTAAGACACATAAAAGCACAAGAATGCTGCAGCTAAGGTAGTCGTTGTTTGTGCACAAACTTAAATAATAAATTTAACATTTGGTGGTACACGTGGTCGTGCGATCACCAACGATTGGAGAAGATCAATCGCAAGTTCAAGCGTAGGTGATTGTGCAACTAGTGGTGGCGATCAGCGACCTATCGTACGATCAGTCGTGGCGATCATCCAGCTGTTGTTGTCGCTCCATAAGTCTAGGCAGCACTAGTACACCTGCCATAGCGAAATGCTGTCTTGGGGTGTTGTAGTCTAGAATTACCTGAACCCAGAAGCAACTCCAAAAATACTGCTCTGCAAACTAAAGACTGGTGGTTCCACCAATCGTTTGGTCGTGCAAACAGTTGGGACAGGTCGTGACTGGTCGCACGCCCGATCGTCAGGTGGCAGGAGCAGAAGCACAACCAATCGTGCAACTTCTTGACCCGCGACTGGTGGTACGACCACGTAAGACCTGTCTGCGACCTCTCAATTATGAATGGCAGGTCAAAAGTTTTGAACATGACCATCGACCTTGTTGCGACTGATTTTGCTCTGACGATCACCCACGACGTCTGCAATCAGTTGTGCGCTCTTCATAATGTACGTTGTACATGTATACTTTCAGATGGTAACAGCAAAACCCACAAGGCAGTCAACGACCTGCAACCCTATGGACCAGGCATTGGTATTGACAAGGAAGACTGCATTAACCATGCTCATAAAAGAATGGGCTCTGCCTTTCTGAATTTGTCAAAAGAATTTAGAATAGGTGATAGGGGCAGAGGAAAGCCCATAAAAGACAAAGCTCTAAAGTTTCAGTGTTAATACCGCTGTGCCATCACTAACAATGTTGGCAACATCGATGGTACAAGGAATGCAATCTGGGCAAGTTTGTTTAATTGTATGTCCACTGATGATTCTCCCCATCACACTAGATGTCCCACTCAAGTTGGTGTTTTTACAATTGAGCACTGCCAAAAAATCTTGAGTATCCTTCTCGCGCGGACAACATCCAACATTATCTTGATGCAGATATTGCAGATCAAATGATACTTGAGTTTCAAAGGATGTCTGATGAAAACCTCTTTAAGAGGATGGTGAAAGGCAAGACATAGAATGCTAATGAATGCTTGCATTCCGTGATCTGGTCCCATTGTCCCAAGATCGTCTTTGTGGGTGCAAGGCGGTTGCATCTGCAATAGCGTCGTTCAATGAGGGTACTTGTCATATTACTCAGGTAATATACAAGCTTGCAAAAGAAGCTAATGAAATAACAGCAGCTTCTATTGAAAGACTTAAGAAAGTGAGAACCCTCAAAGCAAGGAAGCAAAGCCAGGCGACATCTAAGACAGAATGTAGCGCAAAGTGGGAAATCTAAAGTAGGGACAGAGTTCGTGTTGAGGCTGAATCTGAAGGCTTTATCTGTGGTACTGGGGAGTTGTAGGTCCTGTTTCTTCTTTGTACATCTATTGTTTCATGTATCTTGAATACTTCCCTTTTCTGTAGTGATTACTTTATGCAATGACAGAGAGACTATGACAACATCACCTGGAAAAGGCTTAATTTCAATTTTTTACATGTATACCTCCTAGTTGTAACTAATAAAAACTAACAAATACTTGTGAAGCATTTTGTCATTTGTAAGGTGCAGTATCTGGCCTTTAAAACAAATTAATCTGGTTTAAACATTACAAAAATGATGAATTGTCAGTTCTATATTTCTTAAGGATCGGAGTTTTGAACAGTCCTATAAATGTCACCTATGTCTGTTACCAAAGATTGTTAACAGTAATTAGCTTTCAAAAACATGTCCTGCATTCTTCACAAAGATTCAACAACTTGTGGAGTCTTGTTGTAATTGGTGTTTTGTTGTTATCAGCTTCCATCGTTTCTGTAGAGTTTCCTGAAAGAGGAGATCCTTTTACATCTTGTGTGAGTATTCGCCATCAAGCTGACAAAACTGTCTCTTTACTCTGACAAGACATGTGTTCACCTAGGGGGTTTGAGTCTATAATCTCATGTCTTTAGGTGTACACCACAAACATGCCATGGCTGTCCTGTGACATGGAGCAAGGATCATATCTTTCAGAAGCAGAACCACCCTGTCCCAGAAAAAAGTTCACTCTTTTAAACATTAGGTGGAATATTTCTGAGTGTGGCGTTAAAAAACCCCAATAAACATGATGCAATAAGGGGATGAAAACCATAAGTAAGACCATCACACAAGTATGTAAGAAAGGTCTGGTCGGGGTGACGCCATAGTTCCTCTTGTATGATAGTAATATTTAGTGGTGTCATAATTTAAGCCAGTTGTCACTTGTTGTCGACGCCATGTCTCTTATTAAAAGTAGGGTTAAATTTCTTGCAAACCGATTTATTCATTTTTTGCCGAAGTATATGGAACACACATGCAAAAAGTTGCATCAAATGCGCATGCAGCCACTGTCATTGAAGTTGTTGCGGACTTCCTGTCCCAGGTATCATATTTTTGGTTGTCCATGAGAATCGGTGGTGCTGTTAGTAGTGCTAGTCAAAGTAGCATTCTTTTTTCCCAAGGTATATCATAAGCTAGCCTCTTGATGTTTTGCGGCTGACAGGCGAATCATATTGCCAGTAGCTACAGTCGAGGGTGAGGCGAACAACATGATGGTGGAAAGCATCTAGATACGGTGATTGTCGGACCTGAATCCTTAGTGCTGAGACGTTTGTCGACTTAGAGAATGTGGAGGGGTCAATGGTGAAAGCATCCTCTGCCTCCTCATTGTCGTCATCGTGTATCTCCAAAATGTGGGATATCTGTTGAGCCTTTGTCATATATTTCCTGTCATGTTCTGGTAGTGGGAACACACTGAGAAAGTGACATACTTCTGAACGTCCAGCTTGACTGCAGAGAGGGCACATCTTGTTTGCTGCAGCCCTCATAATCCTCACACCCTCCCCTGTATGTATCTCGCCTAGGAGAGATGATGTGCTGTCTCTTAATTGGGTCACTGCGAAGACTGCGATCTAAGGTCTTAGCTCTCTTTACCACATGTGGCTTATTGTTTGGCAGGCTTGGTCTTGGAGACCGAAATGGAAGAGGTGCCACCCAGTTTCCCTCGGTGCCCTTGAACATCTCATTATCCATGATTTGTATAAATTCTCTGTCTTCCATGGAAGATCCTGGCTTTTCATCATCCCTTGTCACTTTGAATATAGACCTCTCAGTTTGCTCAACTTCGAAAGACATCAGTTTCCCAAAATATGACTGCTTCATGTCGAACTTATTTGGGCATGGGTTGAAGATTGAAGCTCGGCATGTATCTCTTCTGGGAGAGATGATAGAGCCTGCGAAACTTCTGGTTTAATGGAAGCCAAAGTCTGAACGTAGTTCAGTACCTTTTTACATTTCGTGTGAGTATTTGCCATCAAGCTGACAAAACTGTCTCTTTACTCTGACAAGACATGTGTTCACCAAGGGGGTTTAAGTCTATAATCTCCTGTCTTTAGGTGTACACCACAAACATGCCATGGCTGTCCTGTGACATGGGGCAATCATCATATCTTTCAGAAGCAGAACCACCCTGTCCCAGAAATAAGTTGAGTCTTTTAAACATAAACTGGAATATTTCTGAGACGGATGTTTAACAAAAAACCTTAAGGGACCTGTTTGAAGGCATCTGAAATGTCTAGTTTACACAGTTTGGAGCCATGACCTTTGTAAGAAATGATAGCGATAGCGTGGTCGATTGTCACATATGAAAGAGAACACTGATCTTTGTCGCTGAGCTCATTGATGCTGAGTATTTCCGGAGTGTCATCGGGCATCGACAGGTCAAGGACAAGTCTCTTCTTCTGGCTGTATTTACCTATGGCCAACCCAAGAGGACTCACCCTGTATACAGGATATGGCACTGTCGAAAATGGACCTGCAACGTAACCCATTGCAACTTCTGACACTGCAGCCTGGTCTTTCCTAGCACTGTAACTGTTGTTGCACTCTATGGAGGTTGTGGGTAGTGGATGAATGACAGATTTGAAGCCATATCTTAGACCATTAATCAAATAGTTGGTAAACTCAATATCCGGATGATGAGCCAGTTCAGGTTGTAACCTGGCATGGTTATTTGGGGTGAGTGGAGATGATACAGGCACTGTTTCCAAGGGTACGGCGGAGTTGTTGGAGGTCAAACCTTCTTTCTCTTGTCGCTACAGTTGTTTTTTTCCATGGTTTGGCTCCTTACAGGTTAAGCAAACATGTTCAAAGAAACATGTTTTTCTGATGCAAACTTGGTCGTTAAAATTGTTGCAAATTTCTTTGCCGTCAAACCTAATCTTGGGACGTCCCCTGATGTCGGCCTTGTCTTGTCGATAGTCTTGCGGTCTGTCAGAGACTGGTGTGTTGTACCTCCTTGGTTTGTGCAGAAACAACAAAACAAGAAGTAAAATACACAATTTATTATAAAACTTGGCACAAATTGGGAGCTGGCTCGGTTGTTGCTTATGAATGAGCTGTGTGTGTGCAGGGGCAGTAGCCGGCCTGCGAAGAGGGATATGAATTATGATTGGAATGTGAAAATGAATTGGGAGAGATTATGAAATAAAATGCCCAAAGCGAGGTAACAACCGAGAGCCCCCAATGAATATAAGGTGAAAAGTAGAATAAATATATACATGAAATGGTGGTTTAGGACCATTGATACAACGATAATACTGAAGTAAAATAAAATAATGATTGTCACTGCGACACACAAAAGCCAGGTGTAGCTGAGAGTCTAGGGAAGTGTCCCTGTCGTAGTGTCAAGATCGAGCCATGGATGAGTGAGCTCGTCGGATGTCATCTTCAGGGGTATGGATATACCTGGTGAAGCAGTCTGAAGACCATCGACCTAAGGTCTTGATCATGTGATCCTGAATATTGACGTGGGCTGCTGTAGTAGTGGCAGCTCCTATTCTAAAAGAATGGCCTGAGTACAACAAGGGGTTCAGGCAGATTCTGCACAGCACTATGTTAAGCCAGGACAGGAAAGCAGATCTAGCCACAGGAAGACCGGCTCTATCGGTAAACATTGCATCACAAGGCTTCGCACCACACTGAAGCCGCACAAACATAAGTAACCTCATACTTGAGAAAGGGCAGCATGATCCTGAAGTAGCGAATACATTCACTGTGACTCCTTGGCGAAACAGGTCTGTTTTAGAGGTTTTAAGGTTAACAGAGCACTTAGCTTGACTAGGGTGAAGAACTACATCTTTAATACACACATTGACTTCTGGGTCGAAAGACTTTGCACTGGTGAATTCCCTGCACCGCAGGAAGCCAAAAAATGCTAGAGAACACATAGCTTCCATGACAAGGTCGTCATGGGCACCAAACACTCCATTCCTTAATGCCGCAACAATGCATGTCAAGATGTTGTAGGTGATAGGTAGACGTTTCTTAGTGCTTGAAATATGCAGCTTCTTGTATCCTCGAAGTAAGGTCTGTAATCTACTCATACAAGGTGCAGTAGGGTGATCAAGGCAGGTATCAATACCTGCGCGAAGGTAGACGAAACGGATACCTGCTAGATAGTTCTTGACTGTAGCACATTGGAGATGCAGGGCGCTGAAGCAGTAGGCAATGAAATACTGTAGCAGTATCTCACTTATAACTGGCAGCTGGTGATGGTTGCGTAGAGGATGGCACAGTTGATATCTGATGAGGAAGTTAAGGTAGCTCTGATAACCAGTAGAGTAGGTAGGCGAGGGAAGCTGTCCACATGTGGACTAACTGCTGGTTCAGTACCATGTCACGGCTGAGCTGTCTGGGCACGGCGTGGCGCTGGGGGCTGCATGAGGGGCTAGCTGGCGGAACCTGTGGAACTGGAAGCGTGAGAGAGCATCAGCAAGTTCATTATGCACTCCCTGTACATGCTTGGCTAAGATGACATAGTTATGAGTGGCAGATAACCAAGTGAGTTTACGCATTAATGCCATGACGTGCTTACAACGAGCTCTGCCTTTCTTAATGATATGAACGACAGCAAGATTGTCACAACGAAACAAGATCTTTCGTTTAAACCATTGTTTTCCCCACACAAAAGCTGCTACCCCAATGGCATAGAGTTCCAAGAACGCGGTACTTTTCATCAAAGTAGAGTTTGATCTGATCTCTGCGGGCCAAGTATCGGCAAACCACTCCTTTGAAAAAAACACCAAAGCCTGTAGATGTAGCTGCGTCAGTGAATAGTTCGATGTCGTAGAAATCTGTGATTCGGGTATCGTGGAAAAAGGACACTCCGTTCCATTGAAGAAGAAACTCTCTCCACATGCACAGATCTAATCGGCATTCCTTAGACAACGAAACGTGGTGATGTAGTTTGCTGACTGTCGTGGATAAGCTGATTAGATAAGGGACAAAAGCTCTACCGGGAGGTATCACTCTGCCTGCGTAACTGAGATGGCCAAGCAGGGAGAGTAGCTCCCGCTTCGTACACTTTTTCTTGTGCATGAAGGTTTCAATGACGCTGATAATCCGCAGCACTTTGTCTTGGGGTAGATGAGCAGATATAGTAGTGGAATCCAATATGATGCCTAGATACTCTAATCTTGTTGTAGGACCCACAGTCTTCTTGGCCGATAGAGGAATGTTGAGCAGCTGGAAAACATAACGAGGTCTGTCATGGTTGTATCCGCTGGGTAGCTGGCAGAATCAACTGTCAAAAAGTCCAGGAGGTGAAGAATATTCTGAACATGGTAATTGTGTTGGAGAATCCAGCAGAGGGCTTGAGACAGGTTGTCGAAAATTTTGGGGCTTGACCTGCATCCGAAAACGTTTGTAGAAATAGTAACTACCGCGCCATTTGAATCCGAAGTAAGGCCAAAAGTCTTTCTGAATAGGGACCTGTTTAAAAGCGTCTCTAATATCGGCCTTACACATGAGCGCATTTGGTCCTAATTGCATAATAATACGGATAGCATTGTCTACAGTCACATAAGATAGCGATCATGTGTCCTTGTCAATTAATTCATTGATGCTATGATTGCTGTCGTTGTGTGGAGCGGACAAATTGAGAATCAAACGCTGTTTGCCAGAGTATTTCCCCACTGCCAGACCGAGTGGATTAATACGACAAACTTTGAAGGGAGGTAGGTGAAAAGGTCCACATACATACTCGTTATCAACCTCTATTTGAACTGCTGTATCCACGGCTTGTGGATTTCTCCTGGCAGTAAGATTATTCGCACATTCTAAAGTCACAGTTGGTGCTGCAGAAATCATGGGATTGAATCCGAATGTAAATCCTTGAATAACGTAGTTTGCAAAATCACGATCTGGATGTGCTTGGTGTTCATATGTTAGGACACTAACATTCACTGGAGGACTATCCACTTAGTCTTGTCATTGATCCGATTTGCGTTTATTCTGCCGGCAGACAGATTTACCATGAGAGGTAGCTTGGCAGGTCAGGCAAGTATGTGCAAAATTACACCGTTCCCTGGAGCACCCGAGTTCATTGAAGTTATTGCACACTTCTCTGTTAGCATGGAACACGCGTGTGCGACCTTTCGAAACTTGTTCTCTGCTGGTTCGGGACTGATTGTGGATTCGATCGCCAGGGAACTTGACTGGCTTGAAGGAGAAGGGAGCATTAGGACATTGTGCTTTGATGTGATCTATGCTGTCACACCCGGAACACACTTTCCTCTTCAAATGGGCACAACAGGCATTAAAAATGTTAGTATCAGGTTTTGACCAATCTATTGGTTTTCCAATAGCTGCATACGCTGCCACTCTCATGGCGAATCGCTTGTGGTACTCATAGTATCCGTCCGCTTCGTATTGGGCCGCGAGGTCTAACACATATTCCTCCTGAGATTCCATTTGTGCTTTCTTTTGGACATCTTGGCCACAGTAGATGTTCCGATACGTTCGGAATGCTTTAGTGAATTCCCGAGGAGACAAGGGTCTAGTCAGTTTAGGAGCTGTTTCTCCCTTACCATCCCCGAAGTCGTGAATAGTGGTCAAGAGCAATGCCAGATTGACATATTTACCTGCCCGGATCTTTGTCACGAGTTGCTCAGGGACCAGATCAATTGGTGGGAGGGAATCTGAAGACAGCGCTGCCGTAGTGTGTCGAACCTTAGGAAACAGATGTGGTCCTGGAAAAGTTGTATCTTGGGAACGTTGGTAGATGCCAATCTGAGACAAATCTTGACTTGCAGGCGTCGTCGCTGGAGGACCCTGGGCCGTGTGAGTTGGAGAGGCTATGTTGCCTGAAGCCTGTTGTTGTGCTGGAGATGACCGATTCTGTGCCAAGGTGTAGACAAGGTCTGTTAGTTCCTTCAACTGATTTTGGAGGGACGTGATGGTGGGTTCATTGCTAACATGATGATCCATGTCTAAATTAGCCTGGGAGGCAACCAGGTCTGGGTCTGCTAGTGGGTTGTCGGGTGCCCTACTAACAGTGGCAGAAGGTGTGGGCCGTGACCTCCCAGTAGTCAACTGCATTGGAGATTCGCTGGATTCAACTGTATTCTTTTGGGGATTCTCAGTATATAGTTGCAACAGCATCTTCCGTCCCCAAGCTTTTGGAAGTTTGAACCCCATGTCTTCTAGACGTTGACGCAAGACTTCGGTTGTAAGATAAGGGATCTGTCTTCTAGCCTGACGTGACCGTGAGACGCTAGTCAATGTTTCTGTTTCGTCCGTTTCTGACAATGTACGTCGCCATGTGCTAGCTCGTGCGGGTCGCTGATTAGCCATTATGGATATGTGACTGTATCCGGGCACGTACGATGCGGTTTGGGGCTAATAGATGAAAGTTACGTACGCAATTGCCCGAGAAAATTGGTGAAACATGGCGGACGAAGAACTGAGAAGGAACATAGAATATGCATGCGCAACATGTCGGAAATAATAAAGACCGTGATGCACCATGAATTAATATTTAAGAAATGGTGCCTGCCGATTATAAATAGAAATGTACAAGATATAGATGCTTAGATTACATATTGATATAAGAAAAAGATAATAGTTGATGAAATACGTAAGTATATTTAGGATTACAATAATTGTGAAGGTACATTATGTAGCTGTGAGACAACGGAAGTAAACAGGGTATAAAAATAGACGGGATGTGAGGTAAACACGTGCTTGGATATAACA